CCCCCCGGGAGCACGGAGGGGTTTGCCCCCCGCCCTCCCCGGTCGCCTGCCCCGCTTCGGGCGCCGGTCCAACCATCTCACCCTTTCCCACCAAGACCTGCAGCACAGCGTGTCTGAAACCACCCCGACCGTGCCACAAAGCTCGGCAGCAGCCCCTGGGGCCTTCCAGGTCTCCACCCCGCACCATGTTACCTTGATGAGGCACTTCTGGCACAGGGATGTCTGCTCAAGCCCCCCCGGACCCAAACAGGAGCAGCTGCCCCAAAGCCTGCTGTCTCCCTCCTGTCCGGGGGAAGCTCTCCAGGACTCTGCAGACCGAAGCCAGTGTGTGGTAACCCCTTGCCAGGTACCCAAAGGGGTGCTTTCCCATTCCCCCAGTTTCCACTCACACAGCAGCCCCTGCATCCTTCCCATGGAGGTGGCCCAAGAAAGGCATTTGCTGTCCATGTTCCCATTCCCTCTTTCCCACTAGGAAGCATCTGATTTCAAAGCGAGAGCAGGAGCTCCAGAGTCCCCTGTGGGAGCATCCGCCGCGGCCCCAGTGCCTGATGCTGCATGCTCCCCGCCGACCCCAGCGAGGCACTGCCAGCAGCAGGAGGGCCCCTTCCCTGCCACCCGCAGTGCTCGCAGCCTCCTACTCACCAGGGAGGAAGAGGCTGGTCTCAGCAACCCGTCCAGACCCAGCATCGCCACTGGGACTGCTGGCTGCCACAGACAGGTGTCCCACTGGGGTCAAGGTCTGCCTGACTGCAGGAAACCACTGGAGACTTCTATCAAATAGGCAGGATCAGAGCAGAGCCTCCAGGCACCCTCTCTTGCTCCACATTTCTTCTCGCTAAGCAGTGGAAAGAAAAAAAAGAAAAAAAAACCCCACATATCTGACTCCACAGTGCCCTCATACCATGAATTTCTGAATCAGTGGTTGCTGCAGATCTCACTCAGGGGATTTTGGGTGTGTGGGAGAAGAGGGGAAGGAAGGGGATTGTTCAACCCGTGCATGACTCATATTCTTCAGAAGCTGAGAAGAGCCTTTTCAAGTAGATTTTCCAGCCACTCAAGTCCTCCAAAGGGGCTGCCCTGTGGCCCCAGGCCTGAGGTTTTCCCCGGCTGGCCTGCCACCTGAGCCTAGCCGAGCCCTGGCAGCCCCTGCCCAGCCTGCCCGAGGAATGCAGCCCAGACAGTGGTGCAGCCCAGGATGTGGGCTCCGAGGGACCTGCAGGTGCAGCGGGGAGTGCAAGGAGGGTGAAGGTGGAGATCCAGCACTGCAAATTGAGGCGTGACCTCTCTCCTGCATTCTGCAGGGGCTTCTGAAAGCCTGGGAGCATGGACACAACTCCCTGGCCTGTGGGAAGCAGCACGCACTGCCTGCTGTCAGGATCCCACTGGACATCCCACCTGGGCACAACCAGCCAGCCACCTCATCTGCTGGCACAGATTTCCCAGAGAGGTGAAGGAGGGGACAAACATCCTCCTCAGTGTGCTGAGAACAGCCACCTCAAACCCTAACTGCTGAGCCTGTCTGGGGAGCCCAGGCCCAAAGATGCTGGAGAAGAACAGATTGTGCCCCTTGAATAGAACAGCTGCCCTTTTCCAGTGCCATCAGCTACATCCCCTCTTGACGGCTTTTTACAGCTCACTCATTGCAGCCCCAGACACTTCCACTCGTTGCAGCAAACAGCATGACTAAGGAATGTCATGGGGTCGTGCCTGTGTCTCCCCAGCCTGCGCAGCTCTGGCTCACTTGGGAGGTTGCTGGCTGTATGCCTGCACACTTACGCAGTGTGCTTTAGAGGAAGCCCACCTTGTTCATTGAGCAGAGGTGGAGCATTGTCACCTGCTTCCTTGTTCCTGGAAGAGCAACCTCAGGCAACCTTAGACCTGCTCTAGAGCTAAGTCCTGCCTCCTATGCTGAGCAGCTGTGCCCTTTAGGCCCCTACGCTTCCCTTGGGAGTGTAGCACATTTGGCTTTTATCCGCCACACATCCCAGAAGGGGACCCTCTCTCCCCCTCCTGCCATCACTAGCATCCTGCTCTGTGGCACCCAATGTGCCTGGCCAAGGCCCTGGGCTTGCACACACACTGCAGTTCCCCTTTGCTGGGCTAATTCTTCCCCGTCTTCAAGTCTTCCTAGGGCTCAGGAAGGATCCTCTGGGCATTGTTGGGAATGGGGTAAAGAGCAGCAACCCAACTCTGATGCATTGCCCAGAGCAGCACCAGCTCCCTGCCCCAGAACACAGCATTGCCACGGCACCCTTGCTGTGTGGCGCAGCCTCCCTGTGCCAGCCAGACTGCTTCAATTAAGGGCCAGCCGCTGCCAGGCAGTACAAGCTAAAGCCGTTCTTCCATGTCTGCAGCTCCTTGAACGTGACCTAGTAATGCAGGTGCTATTTTCTTTCCTCCCGTGACAACTGTCTGACTTGGAGAGCCAACGCCCTGCAGGCAGGAGGGAAACGTCTGTTCATCTGTCTGTGGCGGGAGTGTTTAGCAGCCATAGGAAAAGGCACTCCTGAAACGGAAGCGGCACAGCTCTGCTCCGAGCTGCCCTTGTGTACAGCAGTCATGTTGCAGCCACCCAGCTGGCTGCTCCTCCAACATACTGTTCTCTGAAGTTTTCTTTCCCCTGGGGCCTGCTAATGCCTGCAAATGATGGCCCTCAATGCTTGACTTTGGTTTCTGCACTCTGCTTCATCCCAGGAGTCCCAACAGCTACTGGCAAGGGTCTGGCAAGAGGCTGCTGAGTCCCTCTCCTGCAGCATTCACAGGGACTTTGTTCTGAGGTCCTTCCTGGAAACCGAGTCCTTGACCTGCAACCATGGCAGAGAGAAATCCCCTCTCCCTGAAAGCTGTCCAAGCCTTCCGCTCCCTAGCAGCCTGCCCTTGAGCATTGAAGCCTTTTGTATCTCTGCACAAAATGCCTTTACTCTCATCGTGGCTATCAAGTCGGTTTTGGCAAACCCCAGCCACCCACTGATCTGGTTTTCTCCTCTAGGGCCTTTAAATCAGCTGCTGTGCAGTTGTATTATGAACGATCGGCTCCACTTGTAGCTGTGCACCCTCAAACCCCCTCTCAGCGCCAGCCAGGCGCTTGCTGTTTTCACTCTCCCTGGTTTCACTCCGCCTGCGGGTGGCGGGAGGCCAGGACCTGCCGAGGGCCGGCCGCTGCAGACCCCTCAGCAGGGACGGCACTGGGACTTTAAACCTCTCGCCCAGCTGCCGCCCCTCGGGGACCCGCACACACCGGCAGCCGCCAGCGCCGC